CTTCGTGTAATATCTATTTGATAACGGAAATATTCGCCCAAAATTTTATGACTTCAACCAACAGATTTTCAAACTACTACAAATACAAGTAGGTCCCCAATAAAACATATTAAACCCAACTATTCCTTCATGGATAATGTGTGAATTGTGAAACGGTCACAAATTCTATTATTATCGGATTTTACGGCTCGGCTTACGGCCATGCGGCCACGAGCACGGACTTTATGCGGCTCATAAAATCCCTGAGTCCGGCCCTGGCCGCTATAAAGTCCGTGCTGTTTTAACCCGAAATAAGGCATTAAAGTTTTAAAGATGAAGAATTAGGGAAAGTTTGGTAAAATGAACAAAAACAAAAATTTGTGCAATAAATACTGACCAAAAATGCCCCTTAATACTCCTAATTAAGGTTCATGCAAAATAATTGCAAAATACTTTTCAATGAAAACGCATTAAAAAGCTAGAAAAATGGTTACGGAAATAAGCGTACTTATATTTAATCAATTTGTTTACGGCGGCTATTCAATCAATCAACACGGTACCAATTAAACTAAGATAAAAGCTCTCTGTATCGCATCTCCAACAAATCGTAAATGTCTGAAAGGGCTACTTAGAGCATTTATAGCAATGAGAATAGGCATTGGAAATACTTACAATCTTGTACACTAAAAATAACTTTCCGATCCGCTTCATACAGTCGTTATTCCATTGAAATAGAGGATTTTCTTTTTTTAAATATTTTTTTTATATTTTGATGGGCCGACGTTTGACCACTATCTCGCCTGGTGGTAAGCGATGATGCGTTGACGATGGAGCAGGATAGGTTTTATCCTAGCTAATTCCTAATTCACTTTAGTGAAATGTAATCACCATTATCGGCTTAATTTTTTACCCATTAAAAACAATACCTAATGTCAATGTCAATAATGTCTTTTTTCGAAGTCGATGCAAATCACACTAAATCCATACTTACCGCCAACAAAATCTAGTAGCTGTAGAGCACCACTGGGCTGTTTTATATATTTATGGCTACACTAGCTGTTGCCCGCGACTTCGTCCGTGTAGAATATGAATATAGAACATAACCTTTTTTGGTTTAATTAGTAGATTAGCCAATACAGACAGACAAAAATTATAAAAAATGTTATTTTGGTATGTGTATCGTATGTATATTTATATGCATGAAGTAAAAAGAGGTTATTTTAGTATTACAAACAGATACCCCAATTTTATTTATCTGGATAGATGATGAACATGAAATAATTTACATTGGGTGATATTTACATCTTTCACGATTCGCCTTACGTGTTTAGGAATAATGAAGTAAAAACATTTAAGTTGTGTTAGATTTGCTTTTAATCATTATTTTGCTTGTAATCATTATTGTTATTTTTGTTTGCTTTGATTTTTTTATCGTTCTTTATAATATAATTGTACATAGAATTTATGATCCCGTGAGTGTTGTGTACATCTGTCACTGGTATGCATATCAGACTTTTTAACATTTTGTATTCAACTGTGTTATGGCTAGTGTATAGGTAATATGTATACTGTTGATGTGTCTTTAATACTTTAACTGCCAAGTTTAAAATGGTGAAAGTCAAACCTCCACTAGCGTCAGGCACCGGTGACTGACGTGGCACTATAAGGGTTAATAAATAAATGAATAAATAAATTCATCAGCACTTAATACTAAACGTACTTTCATATCACAAATGCATTTCTACAATTACTTTTCTCCAACTTAAATTAAACCAATTATAATCCAAGTGATATAACCTCCTCGCTACCAACCTCCAGGGATCACTACTTAACAGAGTTGTCAAGAACCTCTAGTGATTATTGTCCCTATGTTAACCTGGTAACTGCTACGTACTTGACAGTTTACCCCCTGGAGACCTGGGTAATTAATAATAACTGTTCTGTGTTACCCTTTGTTTACAAAACGTGGGTTGAAGTCAGTGAGTTACTTTATAGCTGGTGTTTAGACTGGGCCATAAGATTATGCGGTTTGGAATGAGTTGGTTTAGTTATAGTGACTTCATAGAGCGATTTCTCAAGATTCAAAAGATAAGGTCATAACCTTTTTGCCATCTACAACTCTGTTAAACTTCTGGTCAAAGGTCTCTTCTCATGCAGAAATGCTTGTTACATTTTCCTTTAAGTTGAGTAGTTGATCTTTCTTTTCTTCTGCGATTTCCTCATTTAAACAACATAACATCACGCCTTTTATCCCCAAAGGGGTAGACATAGGTATACATTACGGCACTTAATGCCACTGTACAATGTAACACCCACTTTTCACTATTTATGTTATGAATCCCACGTCTTAGGGGGTGAGCCTATTGCCATATACCGGGCACAATTCCAGACTCCGTGCTACAACTGAGATTTTTTGAAAAAGCCCAGTAATACTTTGCCCGACTCGAGAACCGAACCTGAGACATTCGGCCAACGAAGCAGTCCTCATTTAATTTCCAACGAAAATGACTACTGATGTATAAATGCAGAAAAATATCTCAATAATACATTTTAAATGAAAATGTTCAACATTCTAGGAAATAAGAACTAATAACACTTCATATTAATATTTCGGACATAAAAATTCGTTGCAGCATAACTTCGCTTTCAGACATGATTTACGAGCATCCGGAGATTTTTCCAAATGCCCAGAGAGACGTGAAATGCGAGGAATTTAAATGTTAACCCCGACGAGGTCATATGGACATTTTTTTGCCGAAACCCTCTGAAAATATCTGTCTGTTACTCCTTCTAATATATTATCTCTGATAATTAATTTAATATTCCTGAGCCTTGAACAATACCTACCGTATTCTATTGAGATTCTATCTAGTGAGACGAAAATAATAAACACAAGATATTTATATTAATTTACATACCTACTGCTACTGATACAAAATAGTTAAAAGTTTATAAGAAAATTTACTAAAAAAAATGAACTGTAATGTTAATTAAATGTTAAGTGTGAGAGAACCATGCTTCGGCATGAATGGGCCGGCTCGACCGGAGTGATACCACGGCCTCACAGACAACCGACGTGAAGCAACGCTTGTGTTGTTTCGTCGTGTGAGTGAAGTTACCGGAGGCCCAATTACCCTCCCCTTCTCAAACTCCTAATCCCCAAAAGGCCGGTAACGCACTTGTAACGCCTCTGGTATTCCAGGTGTCTATGGGCGACGCCGAATGCTTACCATCAAGTGATCCGTCTTGTCGTTTACCGGCTTATGCCAAAAAAAAAGAAAGTAGGTATTAAGAAATTACAAATTCAGTATTAAACGTCAAAACCCGATTGGTTGGCAAGAAAAGCAAGACAAGCGAACCAACCAATCAACGGCTATCAATATCGAGAGCTACAATATGATTGGCAAGTTACTGATCTCGAACAAAGTGCATTCAATCAACGGAAATGATAGTCCAATAATATGGATGCCTGTATATTGTACATCGGTTTTATATTGCTTTTTAAATTCGTATTTCATTTTGGCACAGCGTTCGAATTTTGGTTTGTTAATTACATCATAGTGTTAACATTCACACGATAATGATGTTAACATTCAATGCCACGCTGGCCGAGTGTCAATGAAATAAGTACTAGCTGTGCCAGCGACTTCGTCCGCGAGGAATACTGATTCACAGCTCCTCCCCCATAGATGATAGCGTGATAATATGTAGCCTATATGTTGAACTGACCTGTTAGAATATTCGTGCAAAATTTGAAGTAAATCCATACAGTACTTTTTGAGTTTAACCCGGACATACCTACATACAGACAAACAGACAAAAATTCTAAAAACCGTATTTTTGGATTTGATATCGAATGCAGATTACACCTCAACCATTCTTTAAAAAAAATATTCATTGTACAGTTTTCACTTTCCTACGATTTTATTATATGTAGATATGTTTACATCAGAAGATAGATAAATATCAATCTTTCAATCGTCGATTTCTGAAATCGCAAAGGATTTTCAAACCATAAACTGTTTAAAAATCGTACTCATTTTCTTTTTATGTGAGCTCGTCTTGTTTCATGGAAACAAACACTGAGCCGACAATAGGAATGATGAAGTCAAAGTCAAAGTCAAAGCATTTATTTCAATTAAACCATAATTTGGTCCTTCTGAAACGTCAATAAATACAAAATAAATAATAATCTGTCAGTCAGTCCGCTGAGAGGGTATGAAAATTAAGTTCAGCCAATCGCGAAATAATGGAGCACATACATACATACATTCAGGTCAAACTGAGAACTTTCTTTCTTTCTTTCTTTTCTAAGTCGGTTTAAAAAAACCTTCAACAATACCTACATTAAAAACTAAATACAGCAATTTCCAGAGGTAATTATCAAGTAAAACAGAACAAATAATTAGAAACGCGGTATTAATGCGCAGTGGTAATTAAAACAGTAGATGGCTCCGTGGCTCCGTGGCTGTATAGCTAACGACCGACCAGCTGGTGGCAGGTGGCTTGCCAATTAAAACACGCTAATTTGCAATCCTCATAATTGTTGTGCAAGCTTTTGTTTAGTAAAGAAGATAATTACTGTGTCAGGAATTTTGTTGCTAAAGTTTTAGACAATATGCCTATGTATAATAGGGTATTTGCCTTAATCAAAAATAATTTATTTCGATTGTTCAATAAAATAAAATATAAAAAATAATCACACTTTCATTGATTGATTTTATGGCTAATTTAATGTTAGTATTTTTCCACCAAATTTTTAAAAAATAACTATGCTGTTTGACTCTAAAAACGTGACGTCACAATACACAAAGTAGTACAAAATTCATAGACAACTGTCGTTTTTGACAAACGGTGAAGGAAAACATCGTGAAGAAACCTGGACTTATAATTTCTAATTATGAGTTTAAAATTGCTAACCCGCATTGAGCAAGCGTTGTGATTAATGCTCAAACCTTTTCCGTACTAGAAAAGGCGTATAGTCAGCCGTGGCCACTTATAGGCTGTTGATGATGATAATGATGAACCACACAATTGAAAAAAAACTCAACCACTACAAACCTAAAGTTCACTATCTCTTGTTTCAGACTTTTTGCGTGGTGTCGAAGCGTTTCCGAAAGAACTATATTCACCGGTTCACGGCCACCAGGTCGTTGTTCTGGTACTCCCCGTGGTCTCCGGTCCGAAGAGCTTGCGTCTACCTCTCCACCAACCAGTACTTCGATTACTTCGTCATGGCTACCATACTGCTCAACTGTGTCTTCCTCGCCATGTCGGAGACTATCGAAGAGGCTGAGTAAGTATTTTTTAATTTTATTTCTTTTGCCGTTTGGCGATGTCTCGGCCTGTGAGGAGATTAACTAACGAAATGATCAAAATAAAAGTGTTTTTGTAGTTGTAAAATAGTAGCCGTATGAAGTTTGGTGTTGTCCAATATCAAAGTAACTTTATATTTCTACCTACCTCGAATTAGTATAAAGCCGAATCGCATAATGTAGATTTTTTAAAGTCATTGCAGGGACTATTTTTTGTTATGGTCACACATTTATACACATGGACTACTTATATACAGACTCACAATACTACGATACTTCTGCGGAAATTATCGAAACATTGTTTCATTAATTCTTTAACTTTTTTCATTATTTTAAAAGTTAACTAAAAATTACGATTTACTCACATAGTCACATACACACAAACCTCTACTAGTGTCTCTTATTCTACTAGTAGACTGCGCGACATCGCCGCGACTGCGCACGCTGCTCATGAGGAAGAGTCCCTTTGTGGCTCGAAACTAGTAGAGCTTTTCTCAGTACATTTACATGAGTAACTCATAATTTTTATCTAATTCAGCAAGCCTCACTATCGTTATTATAAAGACTTTAATAGTTAACAATAGGTACGTAAGCATTCGATTATTTCAAGATTGATACAGAAACATCGAGCTTTCACCACTTGAACAAGAGATGGAAGTAATGTATTTATCCTGGTCAAATTACCGAACATTTTAATAAAGGCTCCACATAGGAAGCTTCCAATATCCGGCCTTTATACTCTGTCAAGCACTTGTTGATCGAAATTGACGTCTGTACCGGTTAATTTGGAATATTTCAGATATTTTGGACTGATTGACATTTTGAACTGTGTCGATATGATGTAACTTTGAGTTCATTCATGTTATTGACTTGTTCTTTGCAAAATTATCTAAGTAATTAAACGTTGTAGTTCGGTGTGGTTTATAAACTCGGATGTTTGTCTATTTAAGCCTTAAAAGGCTTTTTGTTTTACGGGGAATAATCTTTCAAGGACTTCTCCCGCCCGGGTGAGGCGAGAGTGAGTGTCAGACTCTTACTGACTAAAAACCACCTCGTTCCTACTACCACTCTTCAAATCGGAGCCCCGGCAATCGGTTAGGCATTCCACGGTTCGCCTAAAAGGCTAGTCTACATACATAGTCTAACTAATACATCAAGCGAGTAAATTGCATGATCTACCAAACCCTTCTCGGAAACATAATAATTTATTCTGATTGTTTCTTGTGCTGAATTATATGAGTAACCAGCTTCGGACCGCGACTTCGTACGCGCAACCCCGTTCCCGTATTCTTTTTCTGTCATAAGAACCTTCTCCTGGCAATAACAAACACAACAAAAAAAGAATTAGTGAAATCGGTCCAGCCATTCACGCTTGATGCCGTAACCAAGGCAAAAAGGGTTCATTTTTATATATATAAGATAGTATATAAGCTATCCACATAGATAACACAGCATCTCCAGAAAACTTAGTTAAAAAACTAATCATACAAAATGCAAATTCAGTACATGACACTTGCAACCAAAGTATATATCGTGCATCAAACTTACAAATTCCAGTTTAAACTAGTTACGAAATTATGCACAAATATGTACCACGAGTACTGTCGCTAACAAAATCAGGTAGTCGGATCGGTGACGGCTGAATCAATCACGTTATTCGCTTGCTTGCGTTTACGTCAACGTTATATATGATCTCGTTAGTGTACCCGACTGTACACGTACGTAGAAAACACATGTCTACTATATAGACGTAGTAATTTACTGCTTGCTAGTCCATGCTTAGTGTTATAAATGTGCATATTATACTCGATTGTGTGGTTGTTTCTACTTCTGTATTGTTGAAGTGACACCCGAATACTGAAAAGCTACTCAATCTTAATTTGTACTTAAATATCGTGCCGTCTCTGTCATTTTAAAAAGAATTTGTAGCAACAGAATTACACTTAACTTCAAAATGAGTGACGTTTGAGTATTTGTACATTAGTAACGTATTTGTGATATATGGGATTAAGATTTCTCCGATTTGATTTTTGACAACGCAACAAAATTAAAAAAAAAAGTGAAAAAACGAATTAGTCTGTTTTGTAAATCGAATCCTTAAGCAGCCAATGAGAACGTTTCGAATAGAATTGTGAGATAATTATTCATGAAAGGGGCACTAAAATCCAAATAGGATATCCGGGATTGGGTCGATGGGTCACGGTGGAAACTTGTGGGAGCCGGTGCAAACCGGTGACCGATAAATGCTAAACGTTATGCAATTTAATATACCGGTCTAGGTGGCTCTGTTCTCGCGTTTCAATGAATTAAGGACCTCAGCAAAAGCAAAATTGATCGTTATAGATTTTAGTAATGTATAAATTCAAAGATATTAATTTCGTACTACTTTTCAAGTATGGTATACGGATATAAAATTCGCGTCGCGTATAAGTTACAATTCACAACTTATAAATCTGATAAATATATCAAGATAACCGTAAAACTTTCTCAATATTATTACTTTACTAATTACATAAAACAGTTCACTCCGTCACAAAAAAGACCTTCAGACACTGAACTTTAAGATTACCTAAATAAACACAACACAATATCTACAATACCCTGAAATAAACTGAAACATGCAAATGACGCTGAACCCAACAAAGGTCGTGACACACGACTCCGTAATCGTCCCATCAGTGACGTATGGCTCTCCCGACGATACACACTCCTTACTACGTGTAATTCAAGACGTAAGTGAAAACAAACTTGGTGACACTCTGTTACACACTGTATATAAAATGGTGTCATTCTATTACACCACCCTTTGTAAGTAAGTGATAGTTTGTAACACTGTGTTTAAGTTGGTGACAGTTTGTTACATCCTGTATTAAATGTTGTCATGCTATTATATGAATTACTTAACATAGCATCCTGATAACTTGGTGACATACAGCATGATGTAATTATGCCTGGGCTGAACTGCACTACGGTTATACCGCGGTAATTTTTAGCTATGTAATATTTTATAAAGAAAAATACGTATAAAAATAGCCGGTTTTTAAGCGACTGATTTTAAAATTTTTGAGTGCCGGAGAGCCATGCTTCGCCACGAATGCCGACCAGCTCGACCGGAGCGTCTTTAAAGCAACATTGTGTTTCGTCGTGTTAGTGAGGTGACCGGAAGCCCTATTACTCCGCCTCCCCCCCTTCCCCTATATCCCCAATCCCTGAATCCCCAACAACCCTTAAACTCTTAATCCCCAAAAGGTCGATAACGCACTTGTAACGCCTCTGGTGTTCCAGGTGTCTATAGGCGACGCCGATTGCTTACCATCAGGTCATCCGGCTGCTCGTTTGCCGGCTTATCACAAAAAAACCGTTGAATATTAACAATTTGAGGTGAAAATGAACCGCTACAAAATACCTCTATATAATTTAAAGAGATATTACTGGTTACTCTTTTTATTTAAGGTTGATAATAATTAAAGGGGGTGATTTCACGTTCCTTTTAAAACTGTGCTGTTCTTCAACCGCTTTGTGAGGGCGGATAACCGCACGAAGGAAAAATGGTAGTGTGGTCTTAGCATAAGGTGGGAGGATGAAAACCATCAGTTATGCAGTGTACGTCGGTACGTCCCCTGGAAGTGACTTCACGTGAACTGACTACGAATAGAATCCGGTTGGAAGCTGTTATTATAACATAGCTTCACGCCTTCCTCGTATTAGAGGGTATAGTTGATATGGTATAGTGTGAAGTACTTTTTCAATAGGATGTCGGACATGTCAGTATAAGGAAAAAATGGGTTATGCGCTAGATTGTTGTAAATTGTAAGATTAATGAATAAGAGAACTGTATACTTGAGAACAAGTTGGTGGCCAATTACGTAATAGTCATTTTTAGCATGTCATTTGTGAATGAATTTTTGATGAATTGCAGTCAACGTTAGAGGAATAGGGTAGTTTAGTGCTTGTAGCAAGACTGAGTGCTTGTAGTAACAAGCACTCAGTCTTGTACCTCGCTTTCAACAACCGCAACTACAGCACTCAAACCAAAGATACAGTCAACAAATAATAGACTGGAAAACACAAAAGAAAGCTATGTATTAAGTATATATTTGCGTACAACAAACAAAGGATTTCTATACAAGTCGACAGCGGTTTTATAAAATATAACTTTGAACGTTTATATTCATTGTAATGTGGCGGCCTTGAGGCTTGTAATTATTTAAATACCTACACAATTATACTGGACGAATTCAGTTCACTTCAAATATTTAACTGCCTGTGTTTTTTAAATGTGTAGACTTGATACACGTGTCATTTTTGTTTCTTTTTTTATTATACTTATACAATGGCAGTCTGATGGTAAACGGTGATTTTAGCTTATGTGCACATCCAATACCAAAAGTATTACGATTGCGTTGGAGGCTATGTTGGAAACTATTTAATTTTAAGTGTGGGAAACCCATGCGTATGCACGAATGGGCTGGTTCGACTGGAGTGATACCACGGCCTCACAGAAGACCGACAACAACGCTTGCGTCGTGTTTCGTCGTGTGAGTGAGGTTACCGGAGGCCCAATTACACTCCTCCCCCACCCTTCCCCAATCCCTGAATCCCCAACAATCCTCAAATTCCTAATCCCAAAAGGCCGGTAACACACTTGCAACGCCTCTGGTGTTCCAGGTGTCCATGGGCGACGCCGATTGCTTGCCATCACGTGATCCGTCTGCTCGTTTACCGGCTTATCCCGTTAAAAAAACATGGATAAACAATAGATAGCTTATGTTATATGTTATATGTTATTCCAGATTGTAGGTAATCTATCTCTGTGTTACATTTTGTTCAGATTCGTTCATAATTTTGTGTGACAGTGTGACTAACAAATATATATAGGTGATACATCTGCTCTTTTACCGGCTTATACCATAAAAAAAGAAAATCGCGACATCCCAGCTAATAATGGCGCAATCGAACAACGAGTTGGACATCCGAAAGA